TTTCACATGAATATAATAATTATAGCAATGAAAGCAAGTAAGAACTTCGTTTTAATTTTTCCAAAATAATTAGAAAATAATTAAGCACTATTTCTAAAGTAAATAAAGTTAAGAAAACGAGGTGTTATGTAACAGAAGGACTTATGTACTTTGAGGGAGTCTCAAGATGTATGGATGAGCTGACAGAAAGTTTCAAGAAGGGTGGGGGTGCTGAGAGAAAGTCTCAAGAAGGATAGGGGTGCTGTGAGGATCTCGAAGAGAAGCTTGGATGCAGCGAGACGTTTAAGGTAGAATAACCAGGGCAGAAAGAAAGGCAAAATGAAAAATAAACGGTGCGATAAAAACAAAGTAAAGAGAAAGATGAAAATAAATGGCATAAAATACCGACACAATGGAAACAAACACATATGCAGTTTAATGTGATTCTTTATTGACAACGTTTCACCCACACAGTGGCCTTTTACAAGTCACAAACAGATCTGTTTGTGACTTGTAAAAGCCCACTGTGTGGGTGAAACGTTGTCAATAAAGGATCACATTAAACTGCATATGTGTTTATGTTTCCAAAAAGAAAGATAACGAGACAAAATATACGAAAGAGAGAAATCAAAGAACAAAATAGTGTAAGTGATGATACATAAATAATTTCAATTTATTAACACTACTACCATTACGAGTATTAATACTAAACCCCTGAAAGGAGGTGCCTTGATGCCACCGAGTTCTTGATCTAGATAATTTCACCTCTCCTTTTCACAGGTCGAAATTGTTTGCCTACCATTCTCTAAGACGCTGTATGACCTCCATGAGTTTAACACTCCAAAATAAAAATAGTAATAATAATGCGGAGTGGAATGATCATTGCTTCAAAATACTCTTATTTAAAAAAAAAATAATCTTTAATGTTTTTATTTTTGGAATTGTTACAAAGTCCACCTCTCTGGGTCACATCAGCAATAACCTAACATAAAAAGGGGTGAGAATATAATAATAACAGAAGTCAGTGGTGGTTCCAAGGGGGACGCCTAGGGGGATTCAGCCCCCCAAAATTCTCTCAGCCCCAAATAATGATAGTAACAAAGGCATAACTGCTTCAAAACACGCTTCCTGCCCCCATTCCCTTCCAACTTGATAGTTACCCCTAAGCACTCTTAGTACAGAAACTCAGGCGCCGCCCTTGATTATTATAATAGTAAGTAAGCGCTAAACCCACTAGGGTCATGTAGAGCCGCCTCCATGAGCAGTGCAGTAGACTCAGTACCTACTCAAATCCAATTATTCCCACTCACATAAATTTTAAAACTACCCAAAGTGTCACCTTGAACGAAAACCACTAAGTAGTTTGTTCCCCCTCATTTATAACCCTACTACTGAACCAGTGCGTTCCTATATCCTTTCTAAAAATGAATCTATGTTAAACCAAGAAATCATAATGCCCTGCGTAGCAGAAGTATTTAATTAGAAATTTCTCGAGGTTACTCCTACCTTTGGTGTTACATTGCACTATGGTCAAACTATAGTGTATTGTCTCTTAAAGTAAGGGAATGTAAGCCTGACATACTTGAGCGCCTGTTTAAGATGCTTGGGATAATAAACTCCTCGCTGATTTTTATTGTCGATGTCAGATGTTTAGACATGTTTAAGGAGGTACATGAAAAGTCAACCAGGTACAGTAGGTAGCGGCCACTAACTGTAGTGTTGAAATGTTTTGTAGTAAATTATGGATGACTCGCTTTAACATTAAGTCAGATTATAGTATTACTGGGGAGCGGTAAACCCGTAGGGAATATACAGCGCCTGTGGGGGGGGGGACACAAAGGCATTCAGGCTTAATTCAGGGAACTGAAGCATAGATCTAATTCTCTAGATCAAGAGCCACTCACCAACAGAGGAATTATAGAATAGGGAGAAACAATGGTATAAAGTGCACATTTTTTTGTAGATTATTATTTATATTATTAGTGGTGGTTTTTAGCAGGAGGAAGAAGTTATATTAATGTTATACTCGTAGACCCTGATGACTGTATGGTAATCAGCAATGATCCAAGGAGCGAGAAAGAGTAGCTCCAATTCCCTGAATCTAGAGCCCAGGATCAAGACATGTTTGTAGTGAACATTTTTTTTTTTTTAGGAAAAAATGAGCGTTAGAGGTTAGAAATTTTTGTCGTGAAACTTCTGAGTTAGTCTTGTTAAATGATAATGCTTCGTCGTGACAGCTGACTTGATAATAGTCTGTCGTGGCTTGGAAATGGGCAGTCGTGGTTTGATAATGGTCTGTCGTGAACAGATAACGGTGCAGGGGGTGACTGAAATGTTGCTTGAAGATTTATTTCCAATGTGTGGGATAATGAGAGCCTTTACATGAATCGCTAAGTTCGCCTGGGTCATTCTGTGTGGTGTGGATGCTCTATCCTCCGTCCTCTAACACCCAAATTCATGTGTTACTAATCAGTATGACAAAGTATGATAAAGAGGCATGATAAAGCTCATGGAGCAGGAAGAGAGAGAATTAGAGTTGACCAGTGAAGAGGCGGGGCCAGGAGCTATGACCCGACCCCTGCAACCACATACAGGCGAGTATACACTTAGAAACATGTGTTGGTATATTTTGTTGTGCATCATGAGAGTCTAGTACGAAATATTGACATATAACCGAGTATAGATTTTTATTCATATTTTTTAAAGTGTAATACAGTAAGTGTACATGAATTGTTTATTTATGTTGGACTACTTGACACTTAGGATTTTTTCTATTTATGTAGTATACAAATTAAATTTTCAAAACCAGATATTATATGCTTTCCCTTCATTCAGCTTACAGAACGGACAGGATTCGAACCCATGCCAAACCAATCCCAAAATTAACAGGGCAGTGTTCTAACCAGTACATCGCCTCGCACCAAGGCAAGGTGACCCCCCTCAAAAAAAAAAAAAATAATTCACTATCATTCATTCAGTAGCTGTCTTGCTGAAAGTGCACAGACATCACACTGTAAATGATTTCTGTGAACTATAACATCCCCCAACCCTCATTCCGAGCCCAAGCGATGTATCATGCACCTGTAGCGCTCATGTCGTCCGGCTAACGAATTTCTCTGAATCCCTTCATAAATATTACATTGTTCATACTCCAACAGCACGTCAAGATAGTTATTATGGTTGTTATTATGGTTATTATTATTATTATTATTATTATTATTATTAATATTATAGAGCTATAAGCGAGTAAGCTAGACACGAAGGATTACTATCTCAATAGTGTTGAAATCTCTTGCCACTATACTTTTTTCTTGCGAGGCTAAACCCTGACCGAGGATGCTTATCTCCTTACCTATAAAATCTAATTTTCACCATCTGCTAAGTGAGGTTATATCTAAGAGCGAAACTGAGGAAATAATTGAAAAACAAAAAGATGAATGTATTCAGCAAAACCTGATTTTTCGGCGTGGAAAAAAGTTTAAGGAGAGCTATTAAGTGATGGTACATAGATAAATAGATAAGAATTAATTAGTAATTACACGTATTTTACAAAAGGCGTAGGCAGTGTTTTTTATCCACACTTACCAGACGACCGATTGGCATTTTATTTCCAAGGTTTACTGCTCATGGCTCCCATGAGGGTCGCAGTCCATTGTTTGTGAAACACTGGAATGAATTAATAGAAAAAATATTGCTATCCGCCTGTCTCCAAGTGACAGGAGCCCATAATTCATCCCTGTGTGCAGGGCAGTGACATGAATATTCTGTCAACCATAATTTGACATATTTAGATGAGAGAGAGAGAGAGAGAGAGAGAGAGAGAGAGAGAGAGAGAGAGAGAGAGAGAGAGAGAGAGAGAGAGAGAGAGAGAGGAGAGGAGAGAGAGAGAGAGAGAGAGAGGGAGAGGAAGAGGGAGAGGGAGAGAGAGAGGACACTCCGAGGATAGTGAGAAGTGAGCTACTACACAACAAAACGGGCAGCAAACAGCAACTACACTCTGGCTGTAGCCTTCTCAAGGACGTCACTTCTTCCGACATCATCGAAATTAAAGTCAGTTGAACAAATGAAATCGCTGGCCCACAGATGGCTCCAACTTCATCTCTTAACATTAAAAAGGCTTTCAAATGAACTGATGTAGGTAACAGCACTTAGCTTATAAATAAAGTTAGGAACCCTAAACCTATCCTTGCACAACCTTGTAAAAAAAGAGATATATAGAAGTAGGGGGAAGAAAGTGAATATATTATTGGGTGATCATTAAGAAGTGTGTACTTAAAGAGATATCTGAGGGGAACAACTATCAATGACGAGTTAATATGTAATATGTGAAGCAAAGATGAACTATGTAGCCAAGACAATTAGGTAAATGTGAATATTATGCGGAATTAGTTACCTGACCAGCATATTAGCAAACTTTAAATGCTGTGGGCCAATCTCTTGAAGCGAACTTTTCAAGGGACAGATATGGAGAAGGGGTGCCTTGATGCTGATAAAGGGTTCTTGTTCTGAGGAGTGGGAAGTTTCCTCTCCTGCCTCGAATCGAATCTGATTACCTTCTAATCCCAGTTGCTATATTGCCCCTAATGATTTAACGCTTTCCATGACTATTACTGCTTCTTCTATTACTACTACTACTGCTACTATTAATAATAAATAGGTCGAAATATACAGTGATTATTTGGACTGCTGATTGAGTACCTTGATGAAGGTTCCTGTTATAATTTCCTAAGTTTAACTAAAAATCGTATTCTTAGCTTGTGTGTTCTTATTTCTTGTAAATCATTAATGGTTTGACTGACAAATGGTAACTATAAATATGATAGTAACGAGACAGACTGCACAGCAAATCTTTAATCTGACATTTCGGTCAATGTTAAGCTTTACGTCATGAGAATAAGGAGTTATTCTGTTTCTCTTGATCGTAATCCTTAAACCTTCAAAAAGTTGATAAGGAACTTTTCAAAGACGAGCATTTCAAGTGATTAATAAAAAAAAAACTAAAATAATAATACTATAAATACCTTCGGTGTTCTGGCTGCCGTGAGGTCGAGCATGGGAGGCAGTTACTGTGACTGGTAGGCCACATCACCACCTTAGTCTCGCGAGGCACAAAAATTTGGCTAGAACTGAAATGAGAAAAACACCTAAAGGAGCCGGTCACACGAAAAGTGGTTAATAAAAGCAATAGTCTTTACTTTAGGATCAGAATGAAGTAAGTGCTGGTGCACAGCACGAGAAAAAATCCACGTAACTTGGTAGGAAAACAAAACAAGCCCACACAAGAGCAGATACTTACAGTTGCTAGGTGAGACAAGTTAGCTTGTTGTTGTTGTTGTGGATTTTTAGGGACACCAAAACTTACGCCGGCATGGTAGGTAACGTGACCTATAGCCTCCTGGACAAGAAATAAACAAAGAATCCAAGAAGATAAAGACTGGCAATTCTCGGTCTACCAGGCGGGCGCTAGAGGGTGCAAACGCTGGAACATAGGTGGCGCTGACATGTACTCACCCCGGAATTAACAGTGAGGAGTAAATGAAAGGCTCTTGAAATGAGACTCTTGAAACGAGTCTCGGTGGTTTAAATTAGGCTTGTCTAACCTTGCCAGGTCTTGCTGCTAGAAATAACAAACACCCGCTCCTGATTAAGACGTATTTCAATATGAATAATTACATACGTATAATGAAAATACTAAATTTTCCCAGATTCCTAGACCCAGTTGAAGCCGGATAGAATTTCTTGGCGAGCCGTATTTTACCCGCCCCTGAGTTAGAGTCAGACGCGCTCAAAAAATCTTCATTCCTGTCAGAAGTGGTTGTCGTCGGTGTGGTTAATTATCTTGCTGAGACTGGTGTGGCTTGTATCTGAGTAATGTTGTTGCTGCTGTTTCTTGCCATTACTGCTGTTTAATGCCATACTTTGGCTGATGATATCCGCTGTTACAATCATTAATCATCCAGGTATAATTCACATATCGGAAGATGGGTTGTTAAGGTCGTCTTGTAGAGAGAATGAAGCAAGATCAAGTGTGTTTAAATCTGAGGTGGATGAAAGGTATAGGGAACGTCCGATAAAGAAATGGATTACTGTTATTAGTTTTAGTATTATTATTTTTAGTCATACAGTCATACAGAGCCTGGGGAACGAGAGGCTATGAGGTACGATCTTAAGAACGAAAAAGTGGCTGCAGTTACTCGGATCAAGAGCCTGCACCAGCATCAAGGCAGTCTCAGTGAAGTATCCATAGACTTGAGTTTTCGAGCTACATTTACCTGATTTTATACACGATAAAGCTTCCCTGCTTTACATCGTTGGAATTACAATGCTTCGGGAGAACGATATATTGAAAACAATTGAAGAGATAATTCAGTATATTAATGAGAAGATCTTGTAAAGACTAGGTGACCAAACTTAAATAACATGGCTATTCTGATCATTTCACGACGTGAAAATAAATATATTAAATAAACATATAACGTAGGCAATGAAACAATCATAACGTCAGTTGACATGTCCTCTTCAACTGGACTGAGACTTCAGCTGAATATACCATGTGATATAGCGTAACAATACTGATTTTCTCAATATTAATATTCAATAAGTCCAAAAGAGAAGCCTAATGCTTTATTTCCCTCTTCGAAGTCGACAAGACATCCAGTAGACTAGAGAGAATGCAGAAAAAATATATAAATAATAACTTTTCAAGTGTAACATGAATAAACAGATATGTATTATTATTACTATTATTATTATTATTATTATTATTATTATTATTATTATTAACAAAAAGCTCTAAAATTACTAGGGTCATACTAGGGTCATTACTAGGGTCATACTAGGGTCATTACTAGGGTCATACTAGGGTCATTACTATGGTCATACTAGGGTCATGCTACTGATATGGGTACAGGTATATTTACATTAAATAGCTTTGTGGTTCAATTATAGTTCACAGCTTTATAGAAAATATGTATCATAATGTGGTGGCGCACGATTTCCAAGCTAAATTAGTGAAAGCTTACACAGTGCCTCACATTTATTCACTTTATTTTATAAAAACATAACCTTTTCTAAGATAATCCTTCCCCCTCACCTTCCTGATATGTCTGAGAATATTATGTAATAAATATGAAAGAAAAAAAACATTGACGAGTGAAATAACAACCTGATAATGGTTCAGAAAGTACCGAAACGTGATCTAAAAATTATTTCCAATTTGTGAGTTAGATGTAAATAAAATAAATAATTTAGCTTCATGTACTGCGCTTCTTTATTGCCACAGAAATAATTGCCTCATTGAAGAACTTTTTTTTTGTGCTGTAATGTCACGAATTTTACGTTTCAATGAACCATTAAAACAACCCTTTACCTGCATAACTTAAAGCGAAAGGAGACCTTCATTAAGACAAATTTTCGCTCAAAGGTGCTTGACGCTCTGCGCTGTCTTTTCATACATTTATTTATCGGCACTCCTTCTTCTAAGTACCCTTCGCTCGTATCTAACAACAATAATAGCTATTGTCATTCGTAATTAAAAAATCTCCAGTTCCGTGTTTCGACCACCAAGCTGAACGTTCTTGTCGATACTGCCGGGTCGCTTTGTTTACACAGACTGACACGGGTAATAAAAATTTACAGTAGGTTGCCTGTGACTACTCTGATCATTACGCCCCGTTTCATAAGAGGGCTCCACCTTGTTTATTTGTTAATAAATTTAATGGGATACGTAAAAGTTGAAGAATAAGCTTTTATTGGGATAACATTTGACTCCATATAGAGCTTTATCAAGCAAGCTTTACATCTTGGAGTTTTTGTCTTCATAACTGTTGGTAATAAACCACCCCATCCAAAAATTTTAATACCTAGTCAATGCTACTAGTGTTGTTTCTTGAAGATTACTTACTAGGGGACAAAACTTTTGATTAGGTAAACTTTTTTTTATAAAAGTCGGTAGCTGTTTGCCTCGGGATTTATCAGACCTTGATAATACAATGGTAGAGTGCACCGACAGTATGTGAATAAAACATATAATGCAATATAAGCCACTGATATATAGGCCAATCCATGGCTTACCCCCCTGATAGGCTTTGACAAAAAAACAGAATCCTTGTTTATCTCGCTTGTAACATTTTTAATGATGCGATTTTGATCCTCATTCTTCCTTCAAAGGGGGAGGGTGTATTGATGCTGGTAAATGGATCTATGATCCAAGGAATTGGAGCTTACACTCCCCTTGAATCAAAGCTGATTACCCTCCATTAACACAGAAGCTATATATCCCCTGTGGGCTTAGTGGCTCTATACGGGTACAATAGTGAGAAAAATCTTTTGTTCATCCTATTAATTTTCATTATTATTATTATTATTATTATTATTATTATTATTATTATTATTATTAATTTAGTCTTTTACAGTATAATTACAGTAAGTGCCTAGGGAATGCTAGTTATTTAGATTTAGGAAATTGAAGCTGTAGGATGCTTCAATAAGCTTAAAATATCTAAACTGAATAGCTTGACTGTAATCTTGAAGTATGTGTAGGAACATTTATGGCTGAGAATATCTCAAAGACAGTGTGGGAGACGGTAGCATGAACGGAAAGAGATGAGGAGTTAATGGGAGGTTGAGAGGGGTAGGGACTATAGAGCTAGGGGACTAGGAAGGGGGTTAGAGAGTTAGAGGAAGGGGAAAGGGTTAGAGAGGTAGCGCAAGGGGAGAGGAATCAAGCTAGAGAGCTAGAAAGAAAAGGGGTGAGGAAGCTAGGATGGAAGGAGGAGAAAGGGGTTAAAGAGCTAGAATGGAAAGAGGTAGGGAGCTAGGAGGGGAAGGGGGAGGAGGAAGGGGTTAGAGAGCTAGGGAAGGGCGGAGAACCTTGTAGAAGTTGCACATCGCAAACTGACCTTGGGTACATCACCAAGCCTTGCACCCTCTCACTTTTTCATCATTGTTTTCGCTATCTATTTATAAACGTGAAGCAGGAGACAGCGCAGCTACACCTGAGTTCTATGGAACACGATCTGTTCATCAGGCATTGTTTAAGATTTCAGAAGTATGGCAAGCGAACGGGAAGAACAAATGCTAATTAACAGTGCATGGCAACGACTGTTAGGAAGCCTCCGGCTTAGATGGATGCAAATAAAACTCTCTACCATGTCTGTCTTCATTGGAATACAACAGTTTTAGTAGTTGGTCTTCCCTGGTGAAGAGCTCTTGATCTGCTCGAACTTGATTACCTTCCATTTCCCAGATGATGAATGGTCCTTACGAGTATATTACTTCCCCATGAATATAATATTTGTCATTAGTCTTCCAACGAGTGATTTCTACAGTTCAGAGCCACTTACAGATAGTTTATAGTTTTATCAGTGTCGAAAATGAGATATTTTCCCGTTGAGGAGGAATAGTGGCCGGGCAGGAAGGTCACTATGTCTGGTGTGACTTTAGCTAACTTCCTCTGTCAGAAATCGATTTCAAATGCTGTGGATACCTATATTAGCCACAACATATCGCTCCGTGGCTTAATCAAGCTTGCTAATTTAGCACCTGCATGGTGAAACGTTTACAGTATACGTATCCGCTGTATCTAAGTGTCATTTGTTCCATCTTGTCAGTATTTACATAGTACCATTCCAGTTGAAGTCTCGTGTGTTGTTTCTCCACAAAGGTAAATTTATTGACACAAAACAGCGTTGGACTGTTTTTGACTATTTTTAAAAGTGGGGTGACGAAGTCTCCGTGGACTGCTCAGGGTGACACTAGTTGTACTCTGCCCCCTGTTGTGTCTTCTTGTTTTTTTCTTCAATTCGCTTTAGCACTGTTCCAAGTGAAGGGCTCTTGATGAAAGTAATTAAAGCTATCTCTTTCCTTTGATCGAATCTAATTGCCTCCTGTTCTCCAGGAGCCTTATGACCTTAAGGGCTTAGCTTTTTCCCATGAATATAATGATTTTTGCATCATTAATCATCTCCTTAAAATTTACTTTGAAAGTAAATTACAATAGTCTTTGCACTGTAGTTTTAATAAGAGTTTATCAGTATATCAACAAAAAGTATCGAAAATAATAAGTATGCCTCCCAACATTCATCATTATGGTAACCTATATGCAATTACTATTAAAAATAATAATCATTATGGTAACCTATATGCAATTACTATTAAAAATAATAATCCAGAAAAAAAGGATTGATTATAACTTCATACTGAAGCAGAGTCAAACTATGTAGAGAACAGAGGAGTGTAATTAGTAGCACATTGAGAAGAATCATGGTCATCGTTACATTATAAATGACCCTGACATTTTAACCATATTGTGTATTTTTCTGATACTAACCGACAGCTGTTAAACTAGCGTCTGGACTTGAGCTACTCAAAAATATTACCAAATAAAATTAATAACGAT